AATAGAGGGGAGGGGGGAATAAAAAGAGAAGAGGGGGGGGAATAAAAAGAGGGGAGGGGGGATAAGAAGAGGGGAGGGGGGATAAGAAGAGGGGGGAGAATAGAGGGGAGGGGGGAATAAAAAGAGAAGGGGGGGAATAAAAAGAGGGGAGGGGGATAAGAAGAGGGGAGGGGGGAATAAGAAGAGGGGAGGGAGGGGAATAAGAAGAGGGGAGGAGGGGAATAAAAAGAGGGGATAGGGGGAATAAGAAGAGGGGAGGGAGGGGAATAAGAAGAGGGGAGATAAGAAAAAGAGGGGGTAAGAAGAAGAAGGGGTGAGTAAGAAAAAGATGGGGGAGTAAGAAGAAGAAGAGGAGGGAGTAAGAAAAAGAGGGGGGAGTAAGAAGAGGGAGAGGTGGAATAAGAAAAGGGGGAGGGTGGAGTAAGAAGGAGGGGAGGGCGGAGGAAGAAGGAGGGGAGATAAGAAAGAGGGGGGTAAGAAGAAGAAGAAGGGGTGAGTAAGAAAAAGAGTGGGGAGTAAGAAGAAGAAGAAGAGTGGGGGTAAGAAGAAGAAGAGGGGGTAAGAAGAAGGGGGAGTAAGAAGAAGAGGGGGAGTAAGAAGAAGAAGGGGGAGTAAGAGGAAGAAGAAGAAGGGGGTAAGAAGAAGAAGGGGAGTAAGAAGAACAGGTGGGGGAGTAAGAAGAACAGGTGGGGGAGTAAGAAGAACAGGTGGGGGAGTAAGACGACCAAGGGGGGAAGTATGAAGAACACAGGGAGGAGGGGGGTAAGACGAACACAGGGGGTGTGAGGAGAACACATAGAGGGAGGAGTGAGAAGAACACAGGGAGGGTGGAGGGGGGGATGAGAAGAGCACAGGGAGGGTGGGTGAGTGTGAGAAGAGACCGCTAGGGGAGTGGAGAGACCACTAAGGTGCAGGGGAGAGCTCTACGGGACAGAAGGGGCAGCTCTATAGAACAGGGGCCAAAACAGGGAGCTCTTTCACACTACGCGCGCGCACACACACACACACACACACACACAATGCATCCCTATACATACACAGAAACACAACCATGCTTCCCTTACACACAGAGAAACACACAATGCATCCATTACACACACAATGCATCCATTACACACACAATGCAACCCTTACACACAAAGACAATGCATCCTTTGCACACATACACAGAAACAGACAATGCAAACCCGTACACACACATGCAAACACACACACTTCTTCTCTTACATACACACAGAAACACAATGCATCTCTTACACTCAATGCACACACATACAGACACACACCTTGCATCCCTTATGCATACAAACACAGATTCACACACTGCATCCCTTACACACAACCAGAAACACATAATACATCCCTTATACACAAATACACACTGCTTCCACTACACACAAACACACTACATCACCTGCACAAACTGGTAACCCTATACACTACATACCATAAGCACACATATTAGATCCCCTACAATAACACATAACACATCCCCTACACACTCCACTCCCTGTGAGCGAACTCATGGGTGGGTGGAACTTATGAGTGGGCCTTATGGGCATACTCACCATCAGGCCCTGGGGCCCAGACCTTGTGTAAGGGGCCCCCAAAAAATTGAGCTGCTTCCAATTCTCCCAGAACATTGAATTTTGTGACCACAGTTGCAAACAGCCTCCAGAGATCCTGTTCTACACCAGACCAGTGGAGCCAAACTGCAGCCCATCATCATCCCCATCTGCTTGTAAGTAGGCAATCTAGTATATTATTAGTGACACTAATCTATAATGTACCTCACATTAAAGGGACACTATAGCTTAATGAAGTGGTTCTGGTGTCTATAGCTGGTCCCTGCAGGCTTTTTAATGTAAACACACACTGTGTGCAGCACTGGCGCTAGTTCATATGGGTGGGGCATTGTGATGTTACATGGGGGGGCAGCAAATTTTTATTTTGTCTAGGGCGGCAAAAATCCTTGCACCGGCTCTGATCCTGGGCAGGTGCACCAGTCTACTGGTGAACCACAGGAGGGGAGTGCACTGATTGCACTGCACTCTCCTCCTGTCCAGCCCCATCTTTACCGCAGTGCAAGTGCCCTCTGCCCCTAATTTACAGTGGCTCACACTCACAACAAGCAGTGCCTGGAGCCGTGAAGGAGCGGTATGGCAAAGAGCTACTGATTAGCATAACATCAATATCCGTTATAAAACCAGGAAAAGGTGGGCATGGATGGTGAACTGATTTGGTGGTGCAATGGGCCACTTGACTGGTTTTGCCCTCCAGGCCTAAGGCTGCCAGCCCTCCCCTGCTGCTGGTTGTATTGATTCTGTGACTGAATCAAAGATAACTAAAATACAAAAATTAA